TGCTTGAATCCAATTGGTCAATCAACAAGGCAGACAACTTTTTGTTGCCTTGAGAAGATAAATTATAGGTCCTATTATGATACACCCATGTGATGTGTGGCCTTCTCCTTTGATGCAAAATATGGTCCATCAACTACCCCACAACTTTTATTTCCTTAGTAATATTAGATGGAGATGAAAGCTAAAAAGAATATTCATGCTGCCTTTGATAAGATATAGCTTAGGATAGATATATCGAGATCTACCATATGTCATTGAAGCGATCATGAAGCCCAAATCAAATAGATAATAGCATTCACAGAGTCCAAATGCACTTTTTATTTCTAACAGAATACCAAGATCAATATATGTAGAGCTCAAAGATTCTATAATCAATGAAGGATAGTCTCAATAATCAGAACTATGCGCCTGTTAGATATCTTAGTCGATCTTTTTATGCTTGACTAGAAGAACAAGAACATTACAGTGGTGACTCCGACTGATAACAATGAACATACAAGAAATTCCTCACGCTAAAAAATAATAAGGTGCCTCATTGAAAGACAGAATAATGGAATTCCAAGCATAACCATAAGATGCTACCAGAGAGAACCAAGCATTATTGAAATACCTTATTAAGGGGATGGACAACAGAATTGTGACTCCCCTAAAACTGGAAGTCCTTTTTCAACCGTTGACCACCCGTCAACTAGCGAAAATACCCGTGCTTGTTGCACGATCCGACATCATGTCAATCGTGTCCCCTTAACCAAGATCATAACCCACGCGTATAACATGTGTTCCTTTAATCATTTAATTCAACGGAGGTCCAATGTGCCTCAATATACCTCATTTAATGTCCATTTGTATCATTTGAACTAAAGAAAACAAAACTCAAAAGGTTGGCAAAACAATTTAAAATTTTCAGATTTTTGGAATAGTTACCAGTAGTTGTTTGTTAGACCTACTAGTAGAATTTCTACCTGTAAGCTACCGGTAGCTTTTTTCCTACTGAACAGGTACTACCTGTTAGCTACCAATAGGTTTTGCTTGCCGGACAGGTACTACCTATTAGCTACTGGTAGGTTTTGCCCAGAATTTTTATGTTTCATCAGTTTTTCATCTCAAGTCCATTCCAAACTAAACCAAATTCATCCCAAACATGTATGAAGATGTTTTCTATATTATACATGATCCATACAAGTCTATTACAACCCATTCCATACATTTCATTGATTTACATGAAATTTCATATCAAAACTAAGTTTTTCACAATAATGTTACAAAAATTCAATATTTACACAAAATGTGTTATACAAGCCACAAGTCGGCCCTCTTCATCCTTGAGGTCCCGTGTGAGGGCCTTCCATCGGCGTGTACCCCGCACCTGAAATATTTTCTCGTATAGGATGAGCCAACGCCCAGTAAGGTATTCCCTACAAAGGCTACTCCCCAACCTAAGTGCATATGCAATGTTCACATGCAACATTTCATAACCAACAATCGATCCAATCAAGACTAATCAATCTATGTTGAAATTTAACATGTCGTGTCATGATATGAGATAACACCCACTCATACAACTCAACTCAAGCCCTCACCGGATCCTTTCCCCATGTAATGTCATGAGTACTATGATCAGATTTTTCAACCCCCGCCATTGGCCTCACTCATCCAATGACCATTTTAAGATTTTCCAAGGTCTTTGTAGGGGAGGATGTTTATAGACTCACACCAAGGGTCACCCAATCCACACGGAATTTACGGACTTCCACCGAGGGTTCCATGTACACCCACACACTTCATGGACTGTACCAAGGGAGTACGTACCCCCATCACTGGGCCTTGCATCCGAGAAATTTTCTAGCCCTTCTTGGTAACTCTAACCCAATTCTTTTTCATGCAACCGTGCCACTCAGCCAGATATTCAATCCAACTTTCCAGAGCCCACCCATCATCCACCTATTTGGTGTTTGATATCAATCATGCACACACACACACACACATGGCTATAGATGCGATTTCTCCGTGCAAATGCAATGTAATGCCCCATTGCTATTTCAATGTCAATGTTATGCCCACATGTAATGAATGTCATATGAACAGCTTTAAACCACATGTCTACATATTCCATGAAAATTCATATCATAAGCATATAAATTTCATAAATCATCACAATGTCAATATCTCAATGAGCACATATTAACATTTCTTTCCAACACAATTCACACATAGGCATTTGGCAAACACCATCAAAGCAACAATTCATGTTATCATATAAGAATTTTCACCTAATTCACAAAGTATAATATAAAACATATAGCATGCCCACATAACACCCATTTTCCATAGAATTACACAGTAATTGCAACCTACTAATTCCAATCTAAGAATTTTACTTAAATTAGGTCAAATTCACATACCTAATTCACCAATCACCCAATTCCATCAATTTCATAACCATAGACAAGTGATATATATAGCTATATAGCTATTCATCTACCCATTACATATAACACCCTAGGTTGTATAATAAATCTAAGTAGGAAGGAACCCTACCTCTTGAAGAGTAAGAAACAACCATAGGACGTCCAAGAATCCACTTCTAGCCCAAATTTCAAACTTTTAAAAATTTTGTATCTTGATCTTTGGTAAAATCCATCATTTTTGGTGTGGTCGCGTAGCCCTTGGCGAGGAGAGCAACTTTTCCTCTTGGCCCGAGTGAATCCGAAGCCCGTGGAGTCGTAGATCGTAGAGAGAAGTGAAGAGCTCCTTCTTTTTCCCTCTCTTCCCCTCTCACAACCGGCTGAAGAAAGTGGGGAAGAAATCAGATTCCCCCCCCCCCCTTTTTATACATTCCATTAACTTGGCTCACATTGTGCCACACAGTCTCATTTTTTCGAGTCCGTTTTCATCCCGAAACGATTTAATTTTGACCCGGTTCAAGTTCAAAATATTTTTATTTTAACTTGTCTTAAATTATTTTTAAAATTTTTAAATTTTATTTAAAATTCTATTTTTAGGTCACCCGAGACTCAATCACCTCGTAAAACGTAAATAATTCGACTATCTCGAAATTCGATAAAATTTGACAGGATAACTAGATTTTGCGAGATGAATCCAATTGTGAGGTCCGTTTTGTCATCCGAGTTCTAGAAAAATTCAGGTTTACAACCCGTACCGTGACGACAAAATACCGTTTTGCCCCCTTTTTGGTAAAAAATTTAAATTCACCAGATTTTACATAATACTAGATATAACCATAAGATACCATTTGAGAGAATCGAGTCCCAAATAGGACAACCATAACTTAACCTCAATCGCATCCAAAGATGATAATAATATTCGAATCCCGAGAAGGACGATAACTGAATCTCAAAAAATGATTGCCGGGTGTGGTTTGAGGAAAACCCAACCACTGGCCCTTAGAAATAGCCCAAATAAATCTGTCTGCTCAGGGAAAAATAGGGTAAACTTGGCTCATAGAGAATGGTCATAAGAGCAGGCCCGAACATATATATCCCTTGGCCTTAATAATCTTGAGTTGACGACAAACTCGACAATGGGTCTCGTCTTTTCCTATCATGTTCAAGTAACATTTAAATAGAAGCGCACCTTGTGAAATCGATTCATTAACATACTAAGCCCGTGGTTGGACGATTGAAGGTTTTCTCAAATTCTGCTTGCGAGAATATTTACACTTGAGCTCTAAACATACAAATTGATGTTGGGCCAGTTCTTTTCCCCATAACTGCATAACATCATATCAAGGGTCATTCCTAGAGTCTCTTGTTACCTCCCTAAGCAATGAATACACCCCAATGCAAGCTCTTGAACTCATCTCCGAGAGGGTTTATGTTTCTAATAAGATTTTAGGTGCTTTACCCATGCAAAAGCTTACCCATTTCTAGGGCCCGAAGCCCTTCTAAGTGCCTAAACATGTAGGGTTTCTGGTGCTTTGGTCATGCAAAGACTTGCCTGTATTCAAGGCTTAACCCTAGGTCTCATATCACCTCCCTAAATAAGGAGTACTCCTGAGATCAAGTTCTTAAACCTGTCCCCGAGAGGTTTTATGCCTATATTAGGAATTTTAGTGCTTTGGCCGAGCAAAGGCTTATCCGTGTTCGAGGTCTAACCCCGAGTCTCATACCACCTCCCTAAACAAGGAGTATTCTCAAGTTCAAGTTCTTGAACCTGTCCCCGAAAGATTTTATGCCTATATTAAGACTTTTAGTGCTTTGACCGAATAGAGGCTTACTCGTATTCGAGGTCTAATCCCGAGTCTCATACCACCTTCTTAGGATTATTCTCGAGTCCAAGTTCTTGAACCTATCTCTAAGAGATTTTATGCCTACATTAAAATTTTTTGTGCTTTGACCGAACAAAGACTTACCCATTTCTTGGGCCCGAGCCCAAAAAGTGCCTAGACATGTGGGGTGTTTATTTTGAGTTTGTGCCCCCCATTGTGATATCACTTGGCAGCTGTTCTTGATTGCTCGGCAATAGAAAACCGTAAGGGGTCGGGAGCTTGGCTCCCTCATTTCAGCTTTCCTTCTCGTCTACATGTGTTTTCACAAGCAGAATTTTAGATTGGAACACGTTCGGAATTGGGCAACCTCTCAAAGTGAAGTAAATCCTTTCTGATGCATGAAATCATATCATAGTGTCATTGCCTTGTCCGAAGGAAATTAGTAGAATTAGGAAACCAGCCATCTTTGATCCCTTTCCGAGCAGCCCGATGTTATGACCGTAAATTGGGTATCAAGAAGCTTTGATCACTGGTCATCTAAAGAACGGTATGAATTTCAAATTGGTGCAAACAAAAGAGTACCTCGTGGCTGCTAGCAGCCAAATTAGAAGGTTCTTGCTCATACGCAAGTTCTAGGTAGTTGCAAATGCCCAGAAATTTTCTTGTTTGCATCAATTCGTGACAGATGGTAGAAAGAAGAGTCCTAACTTCATCACTGGCCGAGGTGAAAGACCATCACAATATCTTGGTTTCCTGACTATGAATCCATCCATTAGGAAAATTTTCCTTTCTCTTGACCGTATATGCCATGGATCCTTTTGAGTTGCTGATAGACCGAGAACATCTGGGCGACAGACAGAGCATTTCTGATGACAGCCCAACCATCTGAGGCTTTTGTGATTGAATAGTGCAGCTTTGTCCTTCGTTTTGTTTGGGCAATGATGTCGACTAGCCCTTGAAAATTATAGATACTCGAATAAGAATTGAGCAGAAACATTGGCCTTTGTTCGGTGCACTTGCAGTGTTTGATAGAATGCTTAATCGAAAATCCCTTTGAGAGCTGGTTATAATTTCTACTTTTATAGAACGGTGACAATCTGTGTGGGGAACCATGCAATGAAGCCTTGAAGAATTTATGATGGCTCATTATCCTCTTGATGGTAAACCAATCATCAGTAATGCACAAGGATTAGACTGACCATATCCCAAGGAGCGGCTGCCCACTTTAGACTTGGATTCAACTAGCCATGCCCATCGAAGACCCCTCCTAGATTGTTTGAAGAAGTCTATAGTTGCTGGTAGGTGGCCAAAGGTAACTGAAAATTCTTTCCTCGATCTCAAAAAAATACTCGTTGTTAACTATATGTGACGTCGAGATCCCAAGCGCATTCCATTTGATCTGAGTATACTAGCACACCATCTGACTAATCAGCAAGCATAGATCCATGGGATTGATCATGGTGGGTGAGTGACTTACAGCGGCCGAGAGCTTGATTGTAGTGTCCGAGGAGTGAGACTGACTATTCTAAAATATTTCTGAGTTTGATCGGTGATGCCGATCACCTTGGTCATGGACGCCGAGTATCACTGGTTGTTCTGGAGATATCCCCATTGTGAGGAGGTTGTTTGAGGCTACGGCATGGCTCTATCCAACTTGGTTTCATACTAGTAAACAGTTAAGAGAAAATTCGCCGATCATCGGAGTGATCTACAAGAAGAGACTAGCTCTTCTCAGCGTCGAGCTTTGTTTCGATAAGACCGAGCATCAAAGGCTGGAGAAGGTGTCTACTGCTCTTGCTCGGAGATCATTAGATAATGCGAAGCTTTCGGTCTCTCAGGTCTATTCATGATTGCCGGTTTGTATTACAATGGTGCTAAGTAGATTCTAAGAGGTGCTGAGCATATTTCCTTGGATGAAATTGCATCTGGGTGACAGATCAAACTTCTGGGTTTTGTTGAAGTCGTTGAACCTATGTCCTTGTGTATGAGAATGAGCTTTAGGTGAGTAGCCATTTTATTGTGACCAAAAGTTGAAGCTTGAGGTCTACTTGAACAAGACGAGCAGCTTCTTGGCTGCACATTAGTGGGTGCCCGAGCACCGTGGAAATCACCAATGATATACAGACCACTTAAACCACCATTGTGTTTCGATGGTGACACAGATGGCTTTCTTTGTTGACGTTGATTATTAGTTGTTTCCCGAGTTTGGAAATATATTGACTTAATTTTTAGGCTCCATCAAACTTGTTGCCACGACATCAATTCCTATGCCGAGAGAAAAATTCTTGGTTCACGCCAAGTGACTGATCTGTGTTGGGTACGTCATTACAAAGTCCCAGCAGTTGTTCGTTAATTCATATGAGACTTCGAAGAGATTGGGCTGCAATTCTACTGCCATTTAATGGCACTAATGCATTGGTGCCGACCAACTTCTAAGCGGTGCCGAGCGTCTTTGCTCTTTTGGAGATTTCGACCCGGTACTGCATTTCCAAAAGACTTCCAAGGAAAGAGAGCCCGAAAGGGATTTTTGATCACCTTTCGGCCTTTGAGTTGGTTTATAGTAGTGTCCGAGAATCGAGGCCGAGCTCTGACACCTGTGGGAAATGCTCGGGCGGAGTGCTCCGATGGGCCAGTCAGGTTCAACACTCAGAAATCAGCTCTGCAACACTAAGCAAACACAAATGTAATAAAGGAAATGTGTTTCCCATTAGTCATAGCAAGTAATATTCCATGATATCTGCTATTTGTGTGCTTATGTTTTACATATTTAAGTTCAATGAGCATACATGTGCAGCTATTGTCAAGTGACTGGAGCAATATCTCGGTCCTACTAGCCTTTGCTAATATTACAATTGTTGTCAAATTAATACACAATTCTCACAAAGAGAAGTGACCAAGGGCCTGACTTTTGACTTGACTTCCTCATATGCACTTTGAGAAATTCGTATGTTTGCCCCGTGCACATTAAGGCATGTAATGAGAAGAAAGAGAACTTGCACGCGATAATTCTTGCAATTGTGTGAGGCAGCGATCTCTCAATTGACAAACCTAAAGCAGCAGGGTCAGCAAAAAGGGGATCAGGCCTGTGTCTGGCTAATCCCCTCTGAAGCTTAAGTCAGTATAAGATCTAAGAGTTTTGCTTAATGAACTCTTTTTCTCGTTCGAGTTTGCGTACTTTTGTCTATTTTTCTGAGAAATATTTATACCTGAATTAGCAATGATTGTCAAAGATCTTCAGTCTCATTCGAACATCTCACATCTGACACACCATTCCTCGTGTAATGAGTGTTTTCTATTCACGCCTCCTCCTATTGAATGCTAGGGAAATGGGATAAAAGCTCGGCCATGCGCCGAGCATTTATGTCACTCCCCGAGTACCCAAATCCAGTGGTCGGCATCACTCCCCGAGTACCCAAATTCAGCGGTCGGCATCTGACACCAACTGAGCATTGAATACTCAGCGGAACAGTTCCTCGGGAGAGCCGATCGCGTTGTCTCAGCGCATCAACCATTAATTCTTAGTCATTATGACAGTAGGTTTAGACTCCCAGAGGGCAGGTGCTGTCAGGCGCACATTTATTTGCCCTCTCACTATCACTCATTTCCGCAATAAATGTGGGGTCACATCGCATTAAAGACGATGTCAACTGTCGTACTCGGCAGCTCCGTGTCACCATACCTCGGCATCCTTTGGACATTCCAACGGCTTCATTGTTCCACGTGTCAACCCCGGGGCTAAAGAGCCATATTAGAGTCCTGCCAACTGTCCCCCAGCCGTAATCCTTTTCGCAGCGAAAGACAAGTGGCGCAAAGAGATTGGGGCTCCATCATCACGCCTTATTAATAGCTACGGTTACTTGCACGTCTAGTGCCCTTTTCAAATGCCCTAATGATGAGCCAACTTTTCGATTTACGCTCCCTGTGAGGCAGTATAAATAGGAGATTTTCATACCTTCTTAGAACTTTTGCATCTTCAATCTCTCATTAGCAGTCAGACCCCGAGTGCTCTCCTGTCCTCCGAGTTTCCTTGGTTCTCCGTGCCCTCTTTGAAGACCACCTTCCTGTAAGGTCTTCACTTGAGCTTTTTCTCTCTTCATTTCTTCTACATTTCGTCCTCTTAGCGCCCATCAATGGCTAGAACTAGTAGAACCAGGGGAAAACGTCTGTTTGGCTAGTACTACCCACAAGATGAGGGGAACCCAAGTAACTTATGAGAATATCCAAGCCTTTAGGGTTAGGTACCACATCCGTGAGTCTGTCTTCGCTTTCCCCTTCAACCCCACTCACCATAGGAGGGATATGAGAAATGTTGACATAATGCCTTTCTGGACGAAAGTCATCATGGAAGGAGGGTTGACCTTCCCCCTCCATCCCATATTGCTGAGAATATTGATGCAACTGAAGCTTTTCCCCTTCAATGTGGGGTTAACTTCTTTAGAATTTTGATGGGCTTAGTCACTTTAAACGCTTGGTTGGGGACTAACTTAGGGGTAGATGAAATTTTATTCTGCTATGACCTAAGGCTAGTCGCCGGGGGGCGATATTACCTCCAGGCCCGAGATTCCTCAATGTATTTGGTAACCCACATGCCTGACTCGGACAAGGGGTATGTAGACGATCTGATCCTGCTCAGCGGCAGTTGGGAGAAAGGGACCGGGCCCGAGTATGACGGATTGTACTACCCCAAAGTGCTAAGGGATGAAGGTGTATTTTCTTTCTGACTTCTTGTTTTATCTATTCTTGGGTCCGAGGGACGTACTGATTTTGCTTTGTTTTTGCAGAAGGGTATCGCCGGGACGCTGCCCAACTGTTGAGATCCCAAGTCCAGTTTGCTAACCTGCTAAGGGTCTGGTCCTCGAACCTGGTTGAATGAGCAGCACATACCCTCCTCGGCTACACGCCGACCTACAGTCGATTCTACCAGATCTCACCTTTTAACCCTTCTGTTTGGGAAGATCACTCCTTGTCGGAAAGGGAGAATCCGTGGGAGGTTCCGAAGAAAAGTCTCAGCATCACACTCCCGAGCCACTTGCACTCGAAATGTTCATTCCGCCACCCATCACCGCAGTTACAATAGAGGTCGCCGCCTCGGCAAGGAGAGCCAGGCTCGCCGGGCCTTCCAACACTGTCCCCATCATCCCCCAGCCCAGTTCTCCTCGGAGGCAACAGTCGCCGCCGTCGCGTACGCAACCCAGGGATCTGGCCGTGCCGACCAGGCAAAGGCCCCAATCTCAACAAGTCCATGCTCTGGGAGATCGGCTGAGGGACAGGCGTGCTCGAGATGCTGAACAATTTGAGGAGCGTCGTGTAAAGCAGCGGCATGATGCCCCGCCCCCGGGCCCGTCTGTCTTAGGCGAGTAGGTTGCTCGGGTCGAGACCAGGAGCGGCTGGCTTGTTCTGGAAGCCGACTCCATCCTCTAATCCCTCGAAGTGGCCTTTGCCGTCGCGGGGACGCTACAATTTGACGCCGATATGACCGTGTACAAAGGTTACTCGGACAATCGGCTCCTGATGAGCACTATCCAAAACAACCTGGTGGTAAGTTTAACGCTTTCCCAAGTAGCCCTCGCACCCTTTTGGTCATTCCCTAATATTTCTCCTTTTTCAGGCCAGCCTACAGGTGGGAGCCGTCATTGAACGTTTTTGGGAATAAAAGTAATAGCCGAAAAACACCGAGCAAGCCGCAGCTGCTAAGGATGACCACATCCTTAAGGTCGAGAAGACCTTGGCGACCAAACCAAGCACATCGTCGAGCTCATCCGCCAACGAGACGCCCTTCATGCTGAGCTGGAAAAAGCCAAGGCGGGTGAGACTGCAACGATAAAGAAGGCCGAGGAGTATGAGTTGCGAGTGTCCTCCTCCGAAGCCAAGCTGCAAGAGTCAGAGTCTGTAATCAACGTTCTCACTGCCAAAATAGACTCCTTGACAGCAAAAAAAAGTGAGGGAGCAGGAAAGGCTGCAATCGGAGTGTCAGAGGGTGTGGGCGGCCACTCAAAACCAAATGGTCCCCGCTATCGAGGAAGCCAAGAAGAAGGCCTTCAAAGAAGGTTGGGACGCCGCCCTTCACGCCTACCACGTCGAGGTAGGCTCGAACTTGTTCGCCAAGCACAGCTTTCTAAGGGAGGCCGACGACGAAGCCTTGGATGAACGAGTTCGATCCGACCTCGGTGATCATGTGGAGGCAGAAGGGCGGGTCGGGGCTGAAGGTGGAAATGAACCCATCACACTCAGCGACGGATCTGACCAGCCTTCTCCTGCCCTTCCGTCTTTGTCCCATGCCGAGCCAACAAACGATCTGTCCTCTCCGCCCCTCATCATTACTGGGATGCATGATACCGAGCTAGATGAAATATTGGGGGTTGGAGATGAGTTACAAAGGCGGCGTGGAGGCCTCGGCGGGGAAGGAGCCGGGGAAGAATGAGCTGAGGGCCTCAGCAGCTGGTGGCCCCACTTCTATGTCCAGTGTTTTTGTAGCTCTTTGTAACTCTGTACTGAATTTTGCTACTGTTTGTATGCCTGGGGGCGCAAAACTCCTTTTCTTTAATGAACTTTAGTTTTCTATAAGTGTCTGCTTTCCTGCTTCAATCGTATTTCTTGGAAATGGCCTCGACGTCGTGTCTATAAGGACCTCTTGAAGTAACAAGGCTTCACGCCGAATTCATATACAACGCGCCGAACTTGTCGTTAGGTCTTAGGACCCTTCGGGGCCGTACCCCTAACGACCGAGCACTTGGTTCGTGAAGTATTTTGAGAGCGTTGCTCAAAGGGTGGAGTCTTACACCCCTCGGGGCCGTACCCCTAACGACCGAGCACTTGGCTCGTGTTAAGTTTTTTGAACAAGATAATGATACCATCAGTGAAGGCTTATTGAAGTGGTATTTGGACGCTTTCTTTTGTCTCCATCTTTTTTTCAACCAACAAAAAAAAAAACTCAAAAAAAAAGATACAAAAGTAAAAATTTGAGTGGTGTTTGATTTTGACAATACTATTTTTTTTTTTTTTTTATTACTAATATCAAGGGCCTTTAATCAAATAGTACTCCTTATCTTATCAAGGTTTTACTTTCGTAAAGGTTCAAATCCTCCCTCTCCTCCCAAAAAAAAAAAAAACAATTACTAATACTATTAGCTACTTGCAAATCTTGCATTCTGTTTTGGAAAAATAATATATAATGGCCCTTACTCGCGCGCCAATGGAACTAGAACGAAAGTTCGTTTTCTCGGCTCTGCTTACCCAGTGAATGTGTTTGCTGAGATGCCGGGGCCACAAGCTATACACGCCTTCCATGACTCTGTCTCTCCTTCGTTGCTTTCGCTCTCTCTCCACTCTCTCTCTCCCAATCCAAGACGCCCCAAAAACCAATCTTTACCAATGCAACAAGAGACTCGAAGAGCTCCTCAAACTAGGCCGTGTCGACGAGGCCAGAAACCTGTTCGACGAAATGATTCAAAGAGATTCCGTCACTTGGAACTCCATGATTTCTGGGTATTCCCAAAACGGCCTTGTCGATGATGCACGAGTTCTTTTTGACTCATTTATGGGCAAGAATGTGAGGACTTGGACTGCAATGCTAACTGGGTATGCAAAACGTGGAAGAATTAAGGAAGCTTTTGAGGTGTTTGAGGCTATACCGGAGCGTAATATTGTTTCTTGGAATGCCATGATAAGTGGATATGTGCAGAATGGTGATTTGTTCAGTGCTAGAAAATTGTTTGATGCAATGATCGAGAGAAATGTTTCTTCTTGGAATTCTATGATAACTGGGTACTGTCATTGTTGTCGTATGAGCGAGGCCAGGGAGCTATTTGAGAAAATGGAGGAAAAAAATTTGGTTTCTTGGATGGTGATGGTTTCTGGGTATGTTCAGGTTAACAAATTTATTGAAGCTTGGGGTTTGTTTTTGAGGATGCATAGGAGTGAAGTGAGGCTGGATCAGTCGATATTTGTGGTTACATTGTCGGCTATTTTGGGTTTGGATGATGTGGATTTGATAGAGAATTTGAGGACGCTGATCATAAAGACAGGGTACGAGGAGGATGTGGTTGTGGGGACGGCAATATTGAATGCGTATACACGAAATGGGTGTTTGGATTGTGCTATGAAATTTTTTGAGATGATGCCAGAAAAAAATGAGTACTCATGGACAACTATGATTGCAGCTAATTCGCAATGTGGTAGATTGAATGATGCAATTGCATTGTATGAGAGGGTTCCTGAACAGGGGATTTCTACGCTCACGGCAATGATGACTGCGTATGCTCAGAATGGGAGGATTTTTGAGGCAAGGCATATGTTTGACGAGATGAAGAATCTGACTGTGTTGACTTGGAATGCTATTATTGCTGGATATGCACAAAATGGAATGCTCGAGGAAGCTAAAGATCTGTTCTTGAGGATGCCTGCAAGGAATTCGGCTTCTTGGGCTGCCATGATTGCTGGATTGGTGCAAAATGGAGCAAGCAATGAAGCTTTGGAAGTGTTAGCTGAGCTACATAGATCTGGTATTGTCCCAAGTCATTCAAGTTTCACTAGTGCTTTATTTGCATGTGCCAACGTTGGAGCTATTGAAGCAGGTAGACAGATACACTCTCTTGCCATTAAATCAGGGTGCCAATATAATTCATATGTTGGGAATGGGTTAATTTCCATGTATGCTAAATGCAAGAATATGGAAAATGTTACCCAGGTTTTTGGTTCAATGAGAGTGAGAGATACCGTCTCTTGGAATTCACTCATTACAAGCTTTTCAGACAATCACATGTTGGACGATGCTGTTAGTACTTTTAGAAAGATGCCTAAACGTGATGTTGTGTCTTGGACTGCTATAATATCTGCTCATGTGCAAGGTGGGCAAGGAGAAGTCGCTTTGCAATTATTCCTTGACATGTTAGGCCATGGAGTGAAACCAAAAGAGTTAACAGTGACTAGCCTGTTGAGTGCATGTGGGAGCCTAGGTGCAACAAATGTCGGGGAACAGATCCATGCCTTGATCTATAAGGTGGGGTTTGATTTATGTTTGTTTGTTGGTAATGCTCTGGTAACAATGTATTTCAAGTTTGGGAGTGAAGAGGGGTGTATGGTATTTCAAGAGATGGCTGAGCGAGATGTAGTCACATTCAATGCTGTTTTAGCTGGTTGTGCCCATAATGGGCTAGGTAAAGAAGCTATCGAGATTTTTGAGAAAATGAAGGCCGAAAGGGTTTCTCCTGATCAAATCACTTTTCTTGGGCTCTTGTGTGCTTGTAGCCATGCAGGGTTAGTGGATGAAGGGTGGGCCTACTTCAATTCCATGAGCCAAGATTATGGGATTATGCCATTAATTTATCATTATACTTGTATGGTTGATCTTCTTGGGCGGTCTGGACGCCTATATGAAGCTGAGTGTCTTATTGAAAACATGCCTGTGGAGCCAGACACTGTGATTTGGGAAGCTCTCCTTGCTGCTTGTAGAATCCATCGTAACATCAAAACTGGCCAGAGAGTTGCAGAAAAGCTCTTTCAAATGGGTACGCAGAAATCAGGTGCTTATGTCTTGTTATCAAATATTTATGCTTCTCAAGGCATGTGGGACAAAGTTGGGGAAGTACGGAAATTGATGTTTGATCAAGGAGTGAATAAAGAACCAGGAATAAGCTGGATTCAGATCAAGAATAAGCTGCACACTTTCCTCACGGGAGACAAGACACATGACCAGGTTAAAGCAATTTACTCCGCATTAAATGAGTTCCACATGCATTTTCAGGCAGCAGGTTATTTGCCAGACACAAACTTTGTTTTTCATGACGTGGAGGAAGAGCAAAAACAGAATGAGCTTCTGTACCATAGTGAAAAGATTGCTGTTGTCTTTGGCATCTTGAAGTCACCAACTGGATCACCCATCCGAATTATGAAGAACCTCCGGATTTGTGGGGATTGCCACAATTTTATGAAATTCATGTCCAATGTTACACAGCGTAAGATTGTTATTCGCGATGGCAATAGATTCCACCATTTTTTTGATGGTTCGTGTTCTTGTGGTGATTACTGGTGATAGTCATAGACTAGCATGAATAGATGAGCAAGCAAGGACCTTCAGCTCAACTCAATTGATCAGGAATATATGTCAACGAAGTGATAAGGTAAAAACTTGATCACCTTTCTGTATGTTGTCTGGGTTTCAAGATCAACTATTAATGGCCATGCACACAGGGTTCTGGAATTGATGATAACCAATAACATCAACAGTTGCAGAATTTATCCTGTATGATAATACTTAACAATAGAATTCTCTAACATGTGCCAGTTAGAAGAATTTGTTGTTGTTTTTACTGAAATTAGTTGGCATGCACATTGTTATCTATGATTAAGTATTTAATATACCTTCCACACTACAGGAGCATACATTCTGATTTGCACATTGCTCATCTCTAAAACTTGATAACTTGTTTTGTGCATCCATTTGATATTAGGAGCTTGATTTCAACCATTAAATTCTGGAATACTAAAATTAAAAAAAAAGAGGCATGTTGTTTGCTCTTTCTTGAGATAGTTAGGAAAATTATTTTGACATATGTTATTTAAAGCTACACAGCTTCTAAAATGTTAAATAAATAAATTGTTCCAGTTTCTGTAATTGTTTTCCACATTCATGAATCAGGAATTGAAGATACTGGATTACCTGCTTTATGCGTGACATGATTGGTATTGCAGATGTGATGAGGTGGGTTGTGGGGCAGTTCAAAGGTATAAAAAATGTCCATAGTGGTTCTTAACATTAGTGTGGGGGAATCGAAAGAGTTCTCTTTCACTTCTTGAAAAACAAAACACTTTTCTTTTGCTTTCTTGGAACTATTTGTTTTCTGCATAGCTTTGGCTTTTGTTAGAGGAGTTGTTGATTTCCGTAGAAGCATCTCATGTTTTCAGTTCCTTAACTGATTTTAGTTTGTTTATTAGATGTTCCACAGAAAGGAAAGTCTAAGCCCTTTGTTTTCATGCAATTTGAGTCTCCTGATGTTGTCATATCTCAAATAAAAAATCTATGTCTAAATATTTGTCACTGAGCAATGTTTATCTTATCTTAGTTTTTGACAAGTGCAGGTTACAGAACTTGTGGCTGACACTGGCATAATTCTCTATGGTTTGAGAATGATTTACAATTTGGCATTTGCATCTTATTAAAACTTTTTTTAGGTTTAGATATCTACCAAAATTCCCAAATAAACTAACAATTATATGAGACAATCACAGTTCGATGAGTCTTTTAAGAATTAAAGCAACAAATTTGAATTAGGTCAGCTTAATAACTAATTGCTCGGTAAAGTCGCAATTTGGATCAGAATCGTAAAGATCCCTATAAGATCCGGATCACAATCCATTAAGATCCTATAAATTAGAAATTCTACAAGAGACTTGGATCGATTTGTCTGCAGCTAATCGTAGGATCGTAAGATTGTAGGATCTAGATCGGAGTTTTAATTACCATGAGTGGCAATGATGGTTTCGTATGGGAATACCTATATTAGACATCCACATACTTCCTGAGAAGGAGATTCCTTCATTGTGGATGGTTTGGGACAGAAATCACCTTTTCAGTCATATGGAATCTTTAGAATTATTATTTTACTTTTTCTTTTGCTACACACACGTACATATTTACCTAAAGCAATCTATCAAATTTGCAAACTATTGGATTTGCAACTGTGCATGGGTGATTTGAGAGGAGATGCCATAGTTTTTTTATTTGCGTTTGGGAAAAAAAAAGGCATGGATTGTGCTCTAGTGTGATTGATAGGTATTATGATCTACTTGCTTCTTATTTTGTTTTCTAGGACTAATAATATGCTTATGTTGATTGCTTATTCAAGTATACAAGATACAAAACTATAGTGGCTCTCTTTTTTTGTAGATTTGAGGAAGGGGCAGAGCAAATCCAACTAGATGTTGCACAAAATCCAAATGATACCAAGGAGTCAATATGATGCTTGCTTTGTAAAAAGCTTTCTCGAGGTAAACCGTTAATTTCTACAGACGTTAACTTCTTATTTAGGTGGAAAACGGCAGTATTGATCTAGTTTGTAGGATAAATTTCTAAACAAGTTCACCACGAAGGTGTGAAAATCATAGTTGTCGGCGTATCATTTTTAAAAAATAGTGTATTGTATCGTGTATCGTAAGATACGCGTAATTTTAATTTTTAAATAATTATTAATAATATATATATATATATATATATATATACCTTTATAAAAAAGTCATAGACTTATAATAATATAGCATTTCATTAATATTTCACCAACTATTCAAATTCTCAACATAGTTCAGTAATATCAAAATGCAGAAACCTATAATTCAAACTTCTAACATCAACTGCTTGAACAATCTTAATATTAATCAGTAATTTTGAATTTAATTGAACATTAACAACAATTTTTTTTTTTAAACCATAACTATTGAAACGATGTTGTTTTATTGGTTAGTGATTTGAAAATAAGTTCTAGTGTAAAACAATGTCATTTCAACCCCAAAAAACCAAAAAATAAAAATAAAAAACAGAATCGTCACATATCGTACGTATCGGACATATTGTATCATATCGTGTATCGTACGATACGGTGTAAAAACAATACAGAAACACTATACGTATCAAATTTCAAGTGAGAAACAGGATACGTATCGTTTTTCAGATGAATCGTACGATACTAATAATTATGATCAAAATATAGAGGAATTAAATGCATTGCTTCCACATGCATTCTTTGATTTGTTACCTTAAGCTTTCTTGATCCCCATGATTGGAAAATTTCTGTTGAATAATAGTGTATTTTATGCAATGATTTTGTGTTGGTAGGTCTATGACCAACCAACCAGATTATGCATCACAGTAGAGCTTGGTCCTTAGTAGCAATTTTATGATGTTGAATATCATCTCATCTAAAAGGTTAAGTTGTTAGAGAAGAGTGTAACATATGTATTTATCTAATATTCCTCTTCGTGTGACCCCTCTTTGGTTGATCCATCCATGTAATTGTATTTTTTTTTTTTTTTGAGGGAGTAGGTTTGGTGGAATTCGATCTCAATATCTCTAGAATATGATACCATGTTAAATACCACCTCATCTAAAAGTTTAAGCTGTTAGCATGGTTCTGAATAACAGTAACAACCACCGTAACGGTAACGATGTAACGAATACGGGATAAAACGGGCGAAACGTAATGGTAATGAAAACTTAATGCGTGATTTTTTTCTTCAACTTATAACCTCCTATAGAATATGAATATTTACATGTTTCAACTTAAAATCGTACAAATTTAGATGTTTAATGATTTAGTGCATTTTATTATATCATAAACATGATAATAAAATATCATAAATATTAATAATATTTCTTAAGTCACTATGCATCAGTGACCTTTCCATTGGTAACAATTGAACAAATGAAATGCACAATTACAAATATAACAATTTATTAAATGAAACATATTGATGGAACCATAATGATTTTTAGAATTATACAATACAATAAAAAAGAGAAAGCAATACCATCACCTTTCAACAATCTCACCACTAAAAGAACGACGCGGAGGATCCAAACATTGAGATTGAGATTGAGATTGATCTTGATTACTTCCACTATCATCATTCCATCCCCTGGGCAACATATAAGTAAATGTTTCAAATTCAACTCCATCTTGCCGTGTATGCTCTTCATATGTATGCAATTTCAAGTAATTGTTAGGTTGAAAAGTCCTAAAGAATTATCTTGGGGAGGTAGCAGTGTTGAGGAGAGTAACTATAAGGATAAGGTCTATAATTTTTAACTGGATAGCCTAATGAGTAGTAGTTTTCATTACCACTACCATATGATGAATTACTAAAGGTGAAATCACTCAAACTCTGTAGAACACTAGACGAGGAATCTTTATATTCATACCAATTTCTTGTATTTCTGCTTGATTTTTTTCCACGCCATGATTGTTGACCATAAGCTTCTAAATCATCTTTAACTGCACTAAGTCCATGATCTCCGCGAAATGATGAATCATGACAATGACTATTAGTATCACCCTGAGCTGGAAGGCTACCCACATAATTTATAACCATAAAATCCACTTAGACTAGCAACCCGATGACCCTATCAACATCATCATCATCATCACCACCACCACCACCATCACTATCATTGCCACTACCACCACCATTATCGCTTTCATCGCCGGTTCCTCGCTCTGTTACAGAGGCTTGTAGGAGCCCCAGTGGGTTCTTGCCATGCAGACAGAGATGGACGCTCTTCAGCGTAATCATACGTAGGATCTTGTCTCTTTACCTTCAGGGTGAAGCCTGTTAGCTGTCACTGGGTTTACACCCTGAAGTTTCTTGCGGATGGTACTATTGATCGTTACAAGGCTAGATTTGTGATGAAGGGCTTTACTCAGGTATCAGGTCGTGACTTTGGTGCTACCTTTGCCCTTGTGGCAAAATTGACTACTGTTTGTTTGATTATCTCTCTGGCTGGGGAGTACTCTTGGCCTCTTCATCAGTTGGATGTGAAGAATGCATTTTTTCACGGTGATCTAGACAAGATTATTTATATGGATGCACCACCGGGCTTTTGTTGGCTAGGTAGCTAAGTCTACCTACCAACCTCTGATAGACAGTCGGATCTCTCAACTCCTCACCTTCAGCAGTAAGCTTCAGGTTTGGAATCATGGGTGATAATGCCGGTTTGCACCCCAGCATCCCAGTGTCTGAGAGAAGATCCATAACATACTTTCTCTGAGAAAGAACAATACCTCTGCTGCTACGGGCAACCTCAATCACAAGAAAATATCTCAAAAATTCAAGATCCTTCATATCGAAGGCCTTCCCAAGATCTACCTTGACCTGCGCAGTCCCAAAAATATTATCTTTAGTAATAATAATATCATCAACATATACCAAAAGGATGACACACTGTCTAGAAGTATTTCATCGAATGAAGTAGGTATGATCAGAATGACATCTGGTGAACCCCAAACATACAACTGCATCACTAAAACGAGAGAATTAGGCTCGTGGTGACTGTTTTAGTCCATAAAGAGATTTACGCAGTCGACATACCTTTCCAGCATACTCCCCTTCACCACGAAGGCCCGGTGGTGCATCCATATAAATAATCTCATTTAGATCACTGTGAAGAAATGCATTCTTCACATCCAACTAATGAAGAGGCCAAGAGTACTCCGCAGTCAGAGAGATAATCAAATAAACAGTTGTCAATTTTGCCACAGGGGCAAAGGTAGCACCGAAATCACAACCTGGTACCTGAGTAAAGCCCTTTGCCACAAACCTAGCCTTGTAACGATCAATAGTACCATCCACAAGAAACTTTAGGGTGTAAACCCAGCGACAGCCAACAGGCTTCACCCTTGAAGGTAAAAAGACAAGATCCCATGTATGATTACGTTGAAGAGCGTCCATCTCTGTCTGCATGGCAAGAACCCACTGGGGCTCCTGCATAGCCTCTGTAACAGAGCGAGGAACTGGCGTATCTGATGAGGCCATACTATAAGCCCGAAATGTAGGAGACAGATCACCATAAGAAACATAAGCAGAGATCGGGTAAAAAATCCTGGCAGTCCAACCATAACGAACAACTGGACGACGATCAAAATCATCATCCTCCACTGACAATGTCTCATCAGGTAAAACAACTAGCTCAGTGCCTACAATTTCATCAGTACTAACAACAGGTGCATCAATATGCTCAACGAACTAAGAAGTATTACCTGCATTGCCTGAGGTAGAGGCCTTAGAGGGGACATCAGCAAGGGGATGAAAGCGAGAGCGACGAACATAAACCTGCAAAGGAAGAGAGACTAATGACTCTGTACCAGGGATGAGTGGCTCTGGAGAAGGAGAGACCGATGACTCTGTAGTGATAGTGACCAATGGCTCTGGCTCCAGAGGTAATGGAAAATCAAAGGAAGTATCATCAACTGGAGGGGCAGACACGGGACTAGAAGACAAATAAGGAATATGCTCAAGAAAGGTAACATCTAGACTGTGATACATACGACGCCTAACAAGATCTTAACACCGATACCCCTTAGACCGATGACAATAGCCCACAAAGATACAACGAATTGCTTTATCATCAAGCTTATGAGGAGTAGGAGACTGATCCTGAACAAAACATGTGCATCCAAAAATACGAGGGGGGACCGAAAAAAGTGTTCGCTCAGAAAATAAAACCTGTAAAGGAGCCCTATATTGAAGAACACGACTCGGCGTACGATTGCACAGAAAGGTAGAAGTCAAAACAGCAAACTGTCAATAAGATTTTGACACCCCCATGCCTCTAAGCATACAACGTATCATCCTTATCAGACTCCTATTTTTCCTTTCAGCAACGCCATTTTGCTCAGGAGTATATGAACAAGTGAGTTGCTGAAGGATACCATGAGAAGAAAGGTGAGACACTAAGGCATCAGACACATATTCTTTGGCATTATTCGAACGAGAGCACGAACAATGACATCGAATTGTGTCTTAATCATCTGTAGAAACTGAGTGATTATAGGGAGTACATCGGACTTTCTATGCAAAAGGTAGACCCAAGTACAACGAGTATGATCATCTATAAATGTCATATAGTATCGGGTACCTGACAGAGCAGTAACAGGAGAGGGTCCCCAAATATCAAAGTGTATTAGGGCAAATGACTTGGGTGACTGGTGCATGCGAGGAATATAACTGGTCTTAATATGTTTCGATAAGGAACATATAACACAGTCAAGTTTACCACCAACACAAGTATTGCTCAAAGCAGGAAACAACATACATAAATATTTAAAATTTGTATGTCCAAAACGGTCATGCCACAACTGAACAGTTTGTGACGAAAAATCATAACGACAGTTATTAGGTAAAATACTAGCATGCAAGTTAGGAACAGATAAAGATAAAGCAGGTGCAGATGATGTAGGTAGAGGAACTGATGAAACTGGAGGCGAATCGCCTAGATAATATAGTCCATCTCTCTCATGTCCCCTGATAATAATCCTCCTAGAACTCAAGTCCTGCAAATAACACAAATCAGATAAGAATACAACCGCACAGTGAAAATCTTTGGCTAACTGATGTACAGATAATAGATTCATGGCCAACTTTGGCGCATGAAAAAACCGAACATAATGTAAAGCCATCTGAAAGGCGGACTGTACCCCTACTAACAACAAGGGCATGTGTCACATCTGCTAACTGAACTTGTGTATGTAACTGCTCGTCAAAAATGGTGAAGTGATGGGCCTCACTTGTCATGTGACCTTTCGCACCCGAGTCCAACATCCAAAGGGGAGACGAACTGGCACAAGCATGAAAGGCACGAGGTATACCTGTAGTGGTGGCAGCAGCAATAGTCGGACTCTGAGAAGTCAGGGCGGACATAAGTATATCCAATCGGGAAGTGATTGCATCCATATCACTCTGCCAAGGAGGAGCAATAGCAGGAGTAGCGGTAGTAAGTGGTGGTACCTCAGCAATAGCAACAGTACGGCTGCAAGGAGGCGGCTTAAGCTCTGGATGGAGCTTCTAGCAAGCAGCCCTGAGATGTCCTGGTCGGCCACAATAATCACACTGACGAGAATCCCCCTATTTGCGCTGATCTGGGGCACCCTGACGGCGCTGGTCTGAGCGCTGCCCACCCTTGACTGAGGATCCTGAACAAGACCCTGTAGCAGTTGCAAGGGTCATATATTCAACCAGAGGAGTCAAGGCCGCAACTGGAAGGGATGCAATACGAACGCGGCGCTCATGCTGCTTAATCATCGCATACACCTCATAAAGAGAAGGAAGTGTCAACATCGACAAGATCTGGGACGAGGTCCCTCAAACTCATCACGAAGCCCCATAAAGAACTTGTGAATCCTATCCTCCTGCTCTCGAGAATGCAAGAATGCTGCTCCTTAAGGCTCTATCCTCGGAATAGCTGCAAGAGGACGTAAAGTCTCATACTCAATCCAGCGCTGGGTCAAAAAGTCATAATAATCCTGAACGGTCATATCTCCCTGCCGAGCATATGAGAGCTCCTGAGAAAGCTCATAAACATGAACTACCCGTCCTGACTGGGAATACATCTCTGATAATGATCTCTATAGCTTCGGAACAGAGTTATAAAACTGGTGGATCCTACAAACAAATGGCTCTATCGAGCCAAATAACCATCCAAGAATGGCGCAGTTCTCAGAGAACCACGCAGAATATCCAGGGTCGGCATCAGCTAGCTTTGGGTGAGATCCCGTCAGCCAACCAAGCTTCCCTACACGGCCTAAGAAAAGTTAGAATGAGCAAGACCACTCATCAAAGTTACGGCCATTCAACAACTGTGCCGTAACTTTCTGAAAGATCATGCCCGGTAATACTGGTAATGCAACTGTGCCAGTAGGTACTCTATATTGATAAAACTTAAAAGTAGAAGTACCAATAGATGTCTCAACAGCAGAGGTATCAACAGTAAGGGTCTCAAGTCCCTCAGTAGTAGTCATATTAACAATAATACTAGAGCACCCGTGACAGAAAAACAACTCTAAGATAAATAGAGGCATAAAAGAAGAGAGAACAATATACCTCCAGTCGAACAATAGCGACAGATAAAGGTCCAGAAAGCTCCCAAATAATCAGGTCACGATGCCCAGAAATCCAATAAATATAAATAAATGATCTACTGCATCAAGAGCATATCAACGGAGACGAGGATTCAAGAAAAAATTGCGACCCGATAGTGGACCAATGAGTGGACTGGTCTGTGGTAAGTGACCCAACAGTGGGCAGTAGGGATAATGGGTTGTGGGCTTGTCTGTGGTATATTGGGTTTGGGTTTGGGTTTGGACAGTGGGGCTGGTCTGGGTGTTTGTCGTTGGGCTTGTGGGCAATGGTTGTTGGGCTTGTGGGCAGTGGTTGTTGGGCTTGTGGGCAGTGGGGTTTGGGCTGATTGTTGTCGTTGGGCTTGTGGGCAGGACTGTGGGCTAGACACGGGCTGGGCTTATGCAGTGGGGTTTGCTTGTTGATGTCGTTGGTTGCTGTTGTTGTTGCTTGTGGGTAGCCGTTGCAAGCAGTGGACAGTAGGTGCTTGGCTGTCGGGAGTTGGGTTGGTTTGGGTTTGGGTGCAGTCGGTGGATGGTGGTTGTCAATCGATGCTTGTTGCTTGTGGGCTTGTGGGGTTTGCTTGTTGATGTCGTTGGTTGCTCTCGGTGGGTTCAAGGCAGTCGGTGGTCTAAACAGTAGGGTGAGATTCTAGTTGCTGGTGCTGTGATGTCCAGCGGGGTGCTGTGATGTCCGGCAGGGGCTAGAGTTAAGGTTATGGTTAGGTTTAGGGTTGATGGCTCTGATACCAACTAGAATATTTGTGAGTGAATGGGATACAAACTAAATATAGACCCCCGTATATATAGTCAATGAAAGTTACAATAAGGATAAAAAGGTAATACAGGAAAACTCTAATAAATCCTAATAAGCTAGACTACTATATCTTCAACATATAGAAATATTAATTTTTAGTTCATTATGACTACTTATTTATCCACATACATAACATGTAAATTTTATACAATTAATGAAAGACATAACTTTGTAGTCCATACTTACCAGCAGCAAATCATGATGTAACTGAACAGACCACCGATCAATAATCTTCCAATAGTCAACCCAATATCGAGACTCAATTTAATAGCCAACTTTGCTCAATCTATTGCAACATTTATAAAACTCATTGTAAGTTTCTCAGCTCCATCTACTAACCAATAGCTCTTAAACATTAAGAACTTCATTATTTCTCTTTTAAAAGTCTTTGCCCATAATCAAATTTTCCACATCACTAGGAGGACCGGTTTTCATCTTCCCAAAACCAGTCTCCTTATAGTCATCAGAAGTGAACAGAGCCTTTAGGTTATCTTTCTGGCTAATAATGCTCTCAAGTGCAATGAAATTTATGACAAATCTGGTAATTGAAGGGCGTAACAATTATTTACCATTTGTAAATTTTTTCATCAAATGATACAACCTTGGATAATTATAAATGAAGCTTGTGATAGACTTTGCATCATCTAGAACCTTTAAAACAATTTTTTTTTTTGTTGAAATGTCCTCCAATATAAGATCAATTAAATGTGTTGCACACATTGTCCAATACAAACATAGTCTTTTCTCCATCAACTTTTTTTCAGCAGCCTTAAGAGTTGCTTCATTGTCAGTCACTATTTAGACAATATATTCTTATTCAATCTCTTCAAAAATCATATCTAACAAACGAAAATAGTAATCTGAAGTCCCACTTGCCACATTAGATAAATCAACAGACTTATGAAAAATTGTACCTTTATTACAATATATCAAGAAGTTGATGATGTAATGTCGTGTTTAACCAGTCTATCTATCACACATGATAGTAACTCCCCTCTCTTTCCATGGTAGACTGGAAAAACTTAATCTACTTTTTCATTACATTGACTTTTTTATTCAAATATATCTTAGACACCTCATAAGAATTAAGACCTTTAACTCCTTTTCCTACTTCAGAAGCAATGTCAAGTATTGGTTGAGTCTAGGGATAGTCTACTACATGAAAAGGCAAATGGTTATATAACATGAATTTGGAAAATATATCTCCTAACATTTTCCTTCTAATTTTTTGGTGATTTGGATTTATCTTTGGTTGCTTAGAATTTTTATTTTTCAGAAGATCAAGACCCATCTCCCTTAATCTAGCTTCAAGAGTATCATAATTAATCCAATGCGCACTACCATCAACATCCTACTCACGAACTGAATGGGATCATCTTAACCTACCTCCATCTCTACCTCTAAAACTACCCCCACCTCCAAAACTACCTCTCGCATTATACTGTGGCACATGTACATTTCTACGTTTGTGACTTTCTTCAAATTGATATTGTGCCACACTTTCTTTTCTCGTAAATGTCATCTCAGGATCAGAATCTGAATCATCACCCAAATCCACATACCTAGGATCCCCAAGGTCTCCTTCAGATGAAATTCCAGTTCTTCACTCCTCTTTTATTTATTTTCTATTATTTTTACTTTCTTGAATATGTTTCATCATCTGTTCCCTGACTTCTTATGGCACTTTTGGGTATGATGTTACATTGCCTCTTTTTTCTGCCAAATATTCTTTTACTTGTGTAATACCACCTTTAATGATTTTTTTACAGAACATACATACTGCATTATGTCTATTGGTAGCCATTGTCGCAAAGTTCCAATTGATATCATCACTAAGATTGGTTTGTGAATCTTTTTTTGGGCCTTGTCGAGGCATTTTCAATTCTATATAAAAAAAAAAAAAGTATACGTTATGTAAGAATAATAAATCAAACAGAATCTTTATTTAAAATAATTAATGAATTATGGACCCACAAAACATTCATTAAAATGATTAGTGCCTACACTAAAATTAGTTGATTGTGATTAGAGGTGTTAATTTTGACCTGTTGATACGAACCCGACACAAACAATTATAAAATTTACACGATTATTAAATACGCATAATAAATAGTCTAGACTAATGTCTAATACTCAGAACATAATAAATAAATTTTTTTTTTCGTGGGTGTTGACAGGAACACGACACGATTGACACCCTTAATTGTGATACCCATGTAAACTCCATTAAAATAATTAATAAACTCTATTAAAATTATTTAATTAAACACATATTTTATTTGACCAAAAACATAGCTCAAACACTCCATTAAAATATCTAAAGAGACAACACTACATCCTTAAAAAGTAAAAAAAAAAAAAAAAAAAAAAAAAAACAAAAAGTGGTGGCTGGAGTGGAGAGACAAGTAGACAACACTACTGTCATTACATCCTTTAAAAAAAATAGGCGGTGGCTAGAGTTTACCCATTGGAGAAGAGAGTAACTCGAATGGAGCGATGCAGAGGAGATCGACTCATCTTCGATCATACGAAGCAAGCAACGAGCACACCGAGCGGAGGAGAGCATAGATCTGATCACCGATTAGGCACTCATAGTTCAAGTTCAAGTCTTTCTAGAAGAAGAGAGCACAGTTACAAAAGTCACCTCAAGAAGTTAGATCTAGATGTATGGGTGCGTTTTTAAGCTTTTATTTGAAAGATTTTCTAGATTTACCATGTATTTGAGTGAAGGAAGGAAGATGAGAGAAGTTGGTTGAATTTGGTTTTTTGATGAAATCGATTTTTGGGGCTGAAATTTGGGTTTTATACTCGAATCAATTTTCGCATTATAATGGGTCAAAGTAGCCGAGTTTGCCCATATCGTCCGTTACGGGCGCGTTACAGAGCCGTAATGGCTGTGAAATTTATTCTTTCCCTTACATCAGACCGTAAAGGAATCGGAGCATGCCATTACTGTTAAGTAACAACCGATTTTCAAAACCTGGCTGTTAGAGAGGAGTGTAACATATGTATTTATCTAATATATGATAGTTTCTATTTGAGGCATTCTTGTTTCCATTTTATTTGTTCTCCATTAGGGTGGAGGTGGGAATCGAATGGCTGGGCTACACAACAGCGTTAGCCTTATGCCTATAATATGTCCTCTTTCTGACATTGCTTTCGTCTTTTGACATTGCTTTGGATTGTAATGATATGTCTCTTATTTTTTAGGTGTTAACTGTTGGCATGAGGTTCTGAACCGACTTAAGATTGAATGAAAGCAGTATGAAAAAGTATTATGGTGAATGTGGATTTGCATTATAAACCTTTAGAAGACAGTTTGATCCATGATTCTGAAGGGACGGAGGAAAAAGTAGGACTTTTTTTACCCTGAAAAATTCATTGATCTCTGTTGATTGCTATCAGTGTAAAGTTAGTGATTGGTGATCACTATTCAGTAAAGAACATTGGAAGAACACAAGTTAGTGGAGGGAATCCTGAAGCACGACCACAAAAGGTGAAAGAGGATTGAGGCTGTTTGTATTGATTATGAGTACCCACCCAAGAAGAACATACTCCTTTCTTTTGTTTTTTTCCTGGATGTGGGACTGCCATCGCACAAGCTTAGACTAAAGGCTTCCTTTTGTTTGATAACCAGCATCATTGTGGAGTGCCAAGGGGATGCAGCTGTGTATGCATAATGTATACACAAACAACTTTACCATGGTGAGAACAACAGCTCCTCTTTTATGTAATGCATGTCCACACTTACACCGTAGAAGAACATTATTCATGATGGAAATAGTTTCAATCATGTTCAGATGGTTCAATCATGTTCAAGATGGTTCATTTTCCTCCTGTGGTCACTGGGGAGATGATCGCGGGCTAGCTGTAACGGATGAGCAGAAACCTTAGGTTCAATTGAATCAATGAGGACTACAAGTCGATCAAGTTAGAAGGTGAAAATCTGATCATCCCATTTATGGGAAGCTCTTCGGGATCAAGTATTGATTGGCATGGATGCAATAGAGAGACTACCATATTTGCAGCAATTCATGTTTATGCTTTATGGTGTGATTAACAGAAGCAGGGAAGCAAGTCATGGTTGCAACAAAGAGATTGGTTGGTCAACAGCCTCCATTTTCATTCTTGATGAAAATGGAGGATATATTTATTTGGCTACATGTTTTATTTTTCAGTATCCTTTTCTCTCTCCTTAGTGTGTATATTGGAGGATATATTTATATGGCTACATGTATGATAAGCGAGAATCGAGTGGCATAGATGCTGTTTGCTTTCCTTAATTTTTCACCTGAAAACATGTCTTGTTAGACTGAAGTTTTATTTTTTGTTTCTTCCCAAAACTGAAATATGGGATTAATTTGGCTAAAACGTAATGAAAAAAAATCAAGTATTTCTTGTTGAAAGCAAAATGTTGAAGATGTAATGGATTGCCTCTTTTATGCATGCTCTCTCTCTCTCTCTCTCTCTCTCTCTCTCTAACTGCTATTTTGGTCCCAGCTATGCTATTGTCCTGTGGCCTCCACAACATCACCAGTCCGGAATTTTGAATGTGCTCAGGAAATTTCGTTCATTCCATATACATTGTTGATTAAAAAACCTTTTAAGAGAAGGTTATACTTTGAGTCGATTTCTAAAGCTGAATCTTGCTACACCGCACAGTGATTTCAGTGGTCAAACAAGAAAGCATTATAAGTTCGTATCCACTTGACTGCATGCAATCCTGATTTGCAAATTGTTCTACAAATAATTGTGTATATCCAAAATTTGCATTACAATTATTAATCAATAAAACACATGGTTTAGTCTTAAAAACATTTTGCAAATGACAGCAGAAAACCTACTATTCATTCATTTTTCTTGGTAGCATTAATGAGACATCATTGCCATTGTGTTTCAGTTTCGCCATGGATTAACGGCGACTCCATGGATGATTTCAACTGGCTTGTTTAGTATTATGGTGTAATGAGAATTCTTGTCTTCCTGTTGGTATGCTTTGACATGGCAAGCAATCTGCTAAAAATCAAAAGAATGAAATAAAGACAAAAAGAAAAGAATGGCAGTTATTAAAAAAACAAAAAAAAAAAACCGAGTTTTTTCAACACACTAACATCAAACATCGTGTCATGGAACAAACACGTAGAAGGGCTGGTGAGCATAGCAATATCTACTCTAAATGTTTGAGAATGAAAAGTAATGAAATTTTGTAAAGTAAAACCAAAATATTAGGTCATTTATATAAGTTTCCACATATGGCAGACAGTCCTCTAGAATATCCCAAAGGCAAATTACCAAAAGGTTCATCTGAAAGATTACACTGGCCTGCAAAATGCAACACTGCTGCTATTGCATCTCTTTGTCATGAAAA